TACCAATGTTGGTCCTGACGTTACTGTTGAAGAGCCGATTGAACCAATTAATGTTACACTTTCTATTCTTAGATTTACTATTGGTACTCGAACTAGTGTTAGGGAGGTATTCCTCAATGTATTTGGTTTCATATTTGTCAAAGATGTGTTTATTGCCAGAGTTAGCGGAGAGCCTATGTTGTACAGATTTGTGGAGGTTATTAAGGATACAAGTCGGGTAATTAGATTCTTTACTAATATAAGTATGATCATAAATTCCTTTATTATAAGGCATGTACATTCCTCTTGTGAGCTAGTAGGCGTACTACTACTATGGAGGCTCGGATATATTTTCGATAGTGAGAACACCGGACTGTACAGGCATGACGGAGTGATCCTGCTACATAATTCCCAGCCACAAAAAAAACTGACCAACTTAGGCAACAGCTAATCAGATTCTTTAATGATCACAGACTTAACATCACTATAGTCACCAACGTCAAAGTGAAAAATTTCCTGGACACTTCGATCTATCCAGAGGAGTGTACAAGCCTTATAATAAGGGACTTTATAATCATGACCAAGGAGGGATTAAAAAAAAAAAAAATTGATGGTTGGTCAGATTTTGAGGTGTGCCTCAAACAGAATTTTTCAGCACCTCCCTTCTCTTCTATATTGAAATGTACACTATATCCAGATGAATTATTTTTTTAAAGCAGCTGATGTTTGATTTTATTTAATCTCTGTAATTCCTTGCCATTATATTTTATGATGAATGCACTTTCTACTGGGTTTGAACCTGAATTGGATTCTCACTCCTTATTCAATTTATTCTTTTCCTGTCCATACCAAAGTAGGGAAGAAATTTCAGGTTGTTAAAGAAAGTGTGGCTGGTGTAATGACTATTGAATTGGCAAACCAGGCTTGAAATTCCAGCTTAGTCTTTTTGTATTCACTTTTGTACGAATGCCCTGGGGAAAGGCATGAATTCATAGCTTCTCTTACTGGCTATGATATAGCAGGGTAGACTGAAGCTCCATCCTTCTATAGTAGCCAGTATAAGAGAAGGATTATCCTGATTTCAAAACCAGGAAGGCAACAGAAAATCACTCCATTATCTTTTCCAAGAAGTCAGGGCAATTCACAAAAGAAGGGAGGAAAATGTGGTGGACCATACATCATGAAAAGATTCTTCTTCTTATTATTCTTATTCTTCTTCTTATTATTATTATTATTCTTATTATTATTCTTCTTTTTCTTCTTTTTCTTCTTCTTATTCTTATTCTTTTTCTTCTTCTTTTTCTTATTCTTTTTCTTCTTCTTATTCTTATTCTTCTTCTTTTTCTTCTTCTTTTTCTTCTTTTTCTTCTTCTTTTTCTTCTTCTTATGCTTATTCTTCTTATTATTATTCTTATTATTCTTATTCTTATTATTATTTTTCTTATTCTTATTATCAGTGCTACACCTCATGTAGAGTCTAGAAGAATTCAAAATGGCAGAAAATGGAAACTTAACCTTGTTCCAAAGCAGTAGTAGGTGATTTCCAGCTTAAAATATCAGAAATAACTGTTGACAAGTGTTTATTTATAGCAACCATCTCAAGGCGACAGAATGCGTCTAGAGCAGCAAAGGGAGAGAATTCTACGGTGACAATTTTCGCCTGCAGCGTAGTAAAGGTTAATGAATAAATGAGCTCCTTTTAAGTTCCATGACTACAAAATATCTGTGGAAATTCCCCTATTGAATTGTTAAATATTTGAGCTTATCAACTTTAACCAACTACTGAATAACATTCATTATTTAAAGAACTAAGAGGGTACAAATGAAAAGATTGACAATTGACAAGGTTTTCCATTTTACTGGAGCTGGCAAACATATTATTGATTCCTCTTTCTTTCTTTTCCACACTAAAACCAAAATGGCGTCTCTTATGTCTTTCCCATGTTTCTTTGCAATCAAAATGGAATAGTCCATTATTTATGAGGCATTGGTAGGGCGTGATGTACATTGTTTTAAGAAACAAACAAAACAAAAACAATATATAATAGAATAACAATCATGAATAGCAGGATTTCTTTTACCAGACGAGATATTAAATTTAGTATAATGGGATTCTACTGAGATTGGTCAGTGTTAGCCTGGACATTTAGGGAGTACTGAAATTCCTTTAAAGATGTATTCTTAAGTTTTGACGGCATTTAACTTGAACAACCATCTGTGAACGTGAACAAAGAAAGAATAGTTACCTACAGCTGGAAGCTCTTGGCAGAAAATCTTGCCAAACTCGTGTTAGCTGCATGTTTGGATCTTCTCTGGGATCAGTCTGCTGTAGCATCAAGAAAAACGATCTGCCAACTAAGGATGGTGTCTTTTTTTTCTTTTCTCTCTCTCTCATTCATTCATAGAATTTATGGATTTTATTTATTTTTGTAAATTTTGGAAAATATTCACTTTCTTGCTGTTGTCTTAATGATAATTGTTGAGGTGAGAAATTTTTGAAGTGTGGAAAAATTCCTCTTTTATATGACCTGAAACCTGTTTCTCTTTTAGCCATTTTTTATCTTTGGCTTTTAACACGAGTTGTTTTTAAGTAGTAGTCTAAGTGTTTCTCCTTCTCCGACGTGCTTTTGTCTCATGTCCTCTTTGTAGTCTTTGAATTGGTTTTTGCATGAAAAGGGAAATTAAAAAGATGTCAGGAGATGAGTAACTAAAGCTGATCTGCAATTGATGAAAGAAAAAAATAAGAGGAAATTGAAAATAGCATTGCTTTCTGCCTCTTTATTTTATTTTATATATATATATATATATATATATATATATATATATCAGAAAATAATGTCAGAAACTCTGGCTTTCTGTTTTGCACACATTTTAAATTTTTTTGTTGTTGTTGTTTTCATAATTTCCTGCTTTGAAAACATATCTTAATCTCCAGATCTGTGCCAGTTTTTCATCAGTGGCGGGGGGGGTATGTCTTTCTTACTTTTATTGGGTTCATTACATCAACTAGTCAGAAATGAGACAAGATTCAAAGTAGTTTTTTTTTTTTTTCTAAACAAAAACCATGTACTTGATTCAAATTTGAATCTCCCCACACCACCCTTTGACAGCTTTTTACACTCACACACACACACACACACACACACACACACACACATAGTTGACTCTCCCGTCGAATTCGACATATGAGGGTCAAGCAGATCAGTTCCTAGGAAACCGACAGCCCGACAACAGCACATGAGATTTGATTATAGTGGTGAAGGTTTCGTGCAGGACCATCCACACTTTTTTGAAGGGTCGAATACAGAGACCTGATGCACTAAGTGCCACAAGGTCCCCAAACGACCCTCCACAGGTTTTGAATTCAGATTTATCCTTCTCCTAGACCAGTTGCCATCCAAGGCTATAGAACCCAGTCTGTCCTGCTATTTTACCCATAGCTGGAGGGAGAAGAAGAGGATTCATACCTTTCCCCAAATTTAGTCTCATGAAGGATGAAATCTGTCATGCAAAATCTTTTTCACACTTTGTCATAAATTTTCTCCCAATATGTTGTTCTTGATATATAAAAATTTATATATTGTTACCTCGTATATAATGTGGGAATGTCCATCAGTCAGTTGTATGCCATGAGTGATACACGCTTAGGCGATCTTGTATCTTTCGATACATGACTGACGAGGCAGATTTTTTCCCCACAGTAGGTTACCATTTCTTTCTGTGGTAGACCAGTTGCCATCCATGGCTATAGAACCCAGTCTGTCCTGCTATTTACCCATAGCGGAGGGAGAAGAAGAGGATTCATACCTTTCCCCATGGATATTAGCACATAAGTGAATGTAATGGATACGACTGAAATTCGAACTCGGCTTTCCAATTCCTCAATTCGAGTCGCTATCCATTACTCCACTATGCCTCCAGTGGGAATGTGGGTGCTTACAATAATCATTTTTCAGCTGAGACCCTAGTCTGAATCTCAGCATGTCTGGTTTGTTAGCGAGGGGCTGTCCTCTCTTGATGTTAACAGCCTGGTTAGTTGATACCAGAATGTGACATAATTGGAAAGTGTCTGATGACGCTATCACAGGTTGACCTAAGCCATGTGTTTGAAATTTGGTAAAGAGAAGTTTTCAAAGACTGTTGATGCTTTCACCAGTAGCCAGCCATTTCGCACACACACACACACACACGGTGCTGAAAAGTGCATTGTCCAAACCTTCATCTCAAAATTTGTATCTCAGTGGGATTTTTTTTCTTTATTTCATTTTATATTTTTTTATTTTACTTAATCCTTTTTTGATCTGGCTAACCCTATCATGCTTTAAAAAATAGTACAGAAAATAAACCCTTTTTTTTTTTCCCTCTCAACTTGTCAGCTTTTCAGATGACCATTTAAAAATTGTTCCATGTTCTCTATTGTTAGTCTGGTTGTATTTTTTTTTTCTGTTTTGCTCATATGTTGTCTCTTTTTTTTTTTTTATATTGTTTTCATCTCCCTACAAATTTTGCTGTTTTTTTTTCTCTATATTTTGGTCTTTCTCCTTTTCTTTCTTTCTTTATCTCTTCTCTTTTCTGTTAGAGTTTTTGATATTTTGAAGAACTATCATTTCTGACTTGCTTGAAAATTTGCTGGCACTCCTAAAACCTTGTAATAATCTTTATTTTATTTAATCCTTTCTTGATCTGGTCAATAACTTTTCAGCCACCCCTTGTACATATTAAAAGCCAAAACTGACACAAGATGATGAAAACGTTTTATCTTTCTTTTGATTTTTGTAACTTGATGAAAAAAAAAAAAAAATTCACTTTTGCTCATAACAGGAATATTTAAAGAATGTCAAGAATTTTATACAGAATTTTTTTTTTTTAGTGTCTTTTGTGTTAAATAATGAATTTCTTGCTCAAATTGTATAGCAGAAATTGTTTGTACTCTTAAAAAAAATTTTACAACTTCGTCGACTTGCCTGTAAGCGTGGATTCATTCCTGATGTGATTTTATTTATTCCTTTATTTATTTGCAGAGAAATGAAGGAAGAAGAGGAGGACGATGAGGAAGAGGAAGAAGAGGAGGAAGAGGAGGAGCAAGAACCAGAGCAAGAAGTGTCGGAGTTGCAACCACCCTCAACAGCCGGAGAACCTGTGCAGCCCGAAATAGAAGAAAGGAAACGGTCTTTCTCTGACCGGCAGAAAATCCTTGAAGAGAAGAAAATACAACAACAGAGGGAAGAGGCTGAACGAACGAGAATCGAAGAAGAGAAACGGATTAAGAAGGATGCCAAACGCAGAGAGCGGAAAGAACGGGAACGCAGAGAATCCATGCGTATCCAGAAGTTAGAGGAGCAAAACAAAAACGATTATGTCAGCTATTATGGTCCAAACTTTTCTGTACACCCAGCATTAACAAGTAAGTATGGATTGCACTTCAAATACACTTGTATCTCTTTGTCTTGCTCATAAAAAAAACAAACTGTGCTTATTTATTTGAATCATTCGTTTATGTCTCTTGTTTTTGGTTCAATTACTTGGTAAATAGGTACAGGTTTCTCGTCAAATATTCTGACTCACAACATGGTCAATCAGGCTTTTTTTTATGCAGTTATTTAAAGTGTATTTCTACAGCTGTTTATTCGTATTCATTTATTTTTGTTTTTAATTTTTAGTTCTTTTTTTTTAATTTTTAGTTTTTTTTTTTAATTTTTAGTTCTTTTTTTTTTTAAATTTTTTAGTTCTTTTTTTTTTTAGTTTTAGTTCTTTTTATTCGTATTTTTTATTTTTATTTTTTTGTTTTATTTTATTTTTTCCCCATCCTGAAAGTCATAGACCATGGACAATTGTTATAGTTTTGAATTCAGTTAGCTTTCTCCTATACTGGTTGCCAGCCATGGTTACAGAGTCTAGTCTTCCCTGCTATTTAACCTATTGCTGGGGAGTTGTCCATGATCCTCATTGGTGACAAACATGTCGGTGGGTCCTGAATCCTCTTCCGGCCATTATTCAGAACCTGGCTACCAAACCGCAGCTCATCCACTCTAATCATAATTCTGAAGAAGTCTTTAAGCAGTCCCATCGACTCCAGTTTTACAGCTGATCCTTCTCTTAGACAAACTGCCAACCAAGGCTAACAAGCTCTGTCTATCCAACATCCATTTACAGCAATACAGATTTTCCTAATGTTAGATTGTCAGTAGGAACATTTGCACAATATTGCTTTTCTCGTCGAGTCTCTCTTTTTAGTCAAAGCTCTTAGTTTCATGATGCAGTTTTTTCAGTAACTTTGTCAAAATTTCCCCTGCTTTTTTTTTTTTTTTTTTTTTTTTTCAATGAAAATGTCCAGTATTGCAAAAGTTACAATATATAGTTAGGAATGTGTTGTTTTATGGCAAATGTATGTTGTTACTCTTGCCATCTTAATTTGTTTCCCTTTGCTAAAACTAACAAACATTTTGTCAGTCCACCTTGTCTTTGATCATTCCTGATTTTTCATTGGCATTATTTTGAAAGTTGTGGACAGTTGCAGATGGATTTATGGCCGATTCATCTTGTTAATGATAAGCGTCACCCTTTAAATCTGTATCCTATAGGGTTGGAGGTGACAAAGCACTTGTCTCAATTCCTCATTGGCTTTTATAATGCCAACAGCTCTATTGTCCTGCTGGTCAGTGCCTTCTACCCAGATGAACGCCAGCCGTGAGAGATTGACCATCATTAATGGATTCGATGACCATTGCTCTGACTTGGATGACACATGAGAAAATCGATCTCTTTAGTCATTCATTAGGAAGTTAATCTCTTTGTGAAATTCACTCAAGCATGAAGACACTGAACTCTATCAAGGGACGCTGGCAAGCTAAAGTTCATGGAGTAACGTCAACAAAACTTTACTGCCATTGCAAATTATTGATGTCTTTCTTCTATTTTGGGGGTGGGGTGTAGTGGCACTGTTGACAAAACCAATCTCTTACACCCACTTTCCAAATCCATGGTATCCAAGAATTCACTATTTAAAAAAAGAAAACAAAAAAACCCTTGTTGATGAAAATGATTAAGTAAGGTCTAAGGGTGATAAAGGATTATTTGTATCAAATATAACTGTTGCTACAAGAATTTTTCCTTGTGATGTAGAAAAGCAGAGTTGGCCGAGAGTCAAGGGACATGTTCACCTCGTCTTTTATCTTCTAATCTCTCTGCAAATCCAGAAAATTTGTACCAGATAACACAGCCCATATTCCTCGGCTTCCATTTCATCCGACTTTCGTCTAAATATTGACATCACAAAATTCAAGAGGCTCATGTCAAATAATGAATGGTGTACTTTTCTTTCTTTCTTTCTCTCTCTCTTTTCTAATTTTTTTTTTTTTTTTAACTTTATTTCTATCTTCACCTACTTGGTCTTGGTTGCATTATTATAAAAGCTACAAAAGGACATACTTGTTTGTTAAATATTTTTGTTTACTGTCTCTGCTCTTGTCATTGTTCCTCATTCAATGATTGGGAAAGGTCAGGGGGATCTCGGATTTCGAGTCGGTCTTTATTCAGCAGAATTCTATTATACCCATTATTCTGCAGATTTCCAACCTCTGTTGAACGAGAGCCAAAATCTTGCCTGCAGTTTTATCACAAGGACACCTTTGTTCTATATTGTCAACATTGGCCCATTATACCCCACCCAATGCCTTAAATTTCACTAATATCTCTTAATTAGTCTCTCCTTATTTCCTACCCACTTCTTTAGAAATAAAATTCGTTTAGCTATAGAGAAGTTTTTATCCAGTAATTATATAATTCACATAGATAATTGATTTATGAATATCACCTGTGGATTTTTCGATACTTATAAGGAGATCTCGGCTCAATAAGTTGATGGTAACTCTAATGAGACGAAGAAGCGCGTAAAAAATTTACAGTATTTGTCTTGTCTTTAAAGTTTCTTATATGAATGTTTGAATAAATCATTATCATTTGCAATGTTCAGTTAATTTTCAATTTCATTAATGAAAAGATATTTTTATAGAAAAACTATTTGGTTTCTTTTTTTTTTTTTTTTTTTTTTTAAATCTTGAGGAAAAGTAACGTGTTGTAACTGATCAATCTACAACTGTCAAAATCAAGTATTGTTTGCATTGTTAATGTCTATTAAACTTTTGTAATCATTTTCTTGGAGACCACTTTTGCTTTGTATCTCGTCTTCTGACCTGAAATGGATTTTGCTGTTTCAGTCTTTGAAACTTTCGTTCAGGCAAACTTTTCACAACCAAATTTAATAGAATATTGTTCCATACTTTGTTGAATTTTTCTTTTAAAATATTCTTTTTCGACTGTTGATTAAATTGTGATTTTTCTAAGCATAGCTTAGATGAGGGACCTAGTGAGGATTGAACTCGCTACTCAGTTGTGATTGCGCCAGCGAGACAAGCTTGTTAACCATTACATTAAGTCGAAGTGCTTTTCATTAAATGGTCAAATTCTTTACAAATTTGACAGTTTCCCCAAAGAGAAGCTTTATAATGTCTGTTCAAGTTAAAGACTTGTTTCTCTTGTCCACCTTTTATTTTTAACATGAGATCTTTCTGAAAAGTATTGAACACTATCAATAGCCTGCATACTTTAAGAATAGTAAAGAAAATAACCCCCTTTTTTTCTTTCTCTTAACTGTCAGGTTTTCAGATGACCATTTAAAAATTGTTCCATGTTCTATATTGTTAGTCTGATGATTGTATTTTTTTTCTGTGTTCTGTTTACCTTTGCTCATATGTAGTCACCTTTTTAATATTCTTTTCATCTCCCTACAAATTTGATTTCTCTTGCTGTTTTTTTTTTATTTTTTATTTTTTTCCTTTGTATTTTGATCTCTCTCTTTCTCTTTATCTAACCCTTCTTCTCCTCTTCCTCCCAATTCTCTTTGGGATTTTCTATTAGTTCTTCAAAATACCAAAACCTCTATCATTTCTGACTTGCTTGAAATTTGCTGGAACTTCTAAAACCTTGAAATGTAGTACCAGATGAATATAAACCACTCAGCCACTGGAATAGTCATGGAAAGGAGGAAAGTCGTGGGGGGCTGAGTGTCTCAGAGTGCACTTAAGAAATATTGAAGTTGGAAACTATTCGTTCTATAAAAGCAAAAGCCCCCCCCATATATTAAAAAAAAAAAATTATATTAAATTAAGCTGCTTAAAAGATGTCTTTGTTGTTGCCCCCCTTCCCCTTCCCTCCTGAGAAATTGAATAAATTCAACTTTTATTTAGAATGGGATTAAAAAAAAAAAAAAATAAATAAAAAGTTGGTTAGGTGGGTAGTGATGATGATGATAGTTTGAATTAAGATGCATTGATTTCAAGGCGCTACCAGATTTCTTGACGAACCTTGTATCTAGTAATTTGGTTAGACTGCTTGATGGAATTCTCTTCAAAAAGACCAGGTGGCCAAAGTCTCTTGGATTATTGATTAGCAATTTAGAGAACTGGTTGTTTGGGCCTTTGTAGTGCAAAAGAGGGGAGCTTCTCGCTGATAGTTATTTATACCCAAACGGCATCACTTTCAGTGGAGACAAAATTCAATGATAGATACAGAACGGTCTTAAGCAACTCTGGCTTTTATGAAGCATTTTTAATCAGGAAACAAGGAAAGCGTCAAGAAAACATTATACAAAAAGAATTAGCTTCATATTTTGGTTTGTCAATGAATCCATTCTTCTCTGCAGCCTGCTTGCTTCATCTGATAGAGAGAGTCTTAGTTCTGTCTGAGAAACAGAGGACTAAAAACTTTCAAATTTGCCAACAGCAAATAAACCAAACTTTGCATTCTGAAAAAGATTTTTTTCCATTGTTGAATAAAGGATTTTATTTGAAAATAGAAATAATTCTGCTTTGGTAATTTTTCTTTGGTTACTTTTTTGATTTAGTTCCTATTCTTAACCAAATTCTTCATTTTGTTCTTGTGAGCAGTGACTTTTTTTTAAAAACATTTTCCTGAAGATACACCTCACAGGGAAAGCTTTGCCTGTTGGAAGACGTGCTCAAAATCAAACTGCATGTCACAATAAAACACACACTTAGCTTATTAGCTGTTTCTATTTATTCAGCTCATCTTTTTCAATTGTTTAATCTTGAACGTCTTTGTTGCCATCTTTTATTGCAATGCTATGCAAAACGGAGAAGAAAGAAGGGAGAAAACAATAGCAGCTTGGTATATTTGATTTAGCAGATTGCAATGTTTATAGATGTGTTAGGGTGTCTAGACTGAGGTGTTTTCTCATTTCCTTTCAATCGGCCTATTTTCCTCCCGTTCAATATCACATCAATTCGATCACTTTAATATTTGTCGTTAGGATGTGTGAGTAATTTCATGAAAAGTGGAATTACCAAGCCAAGGTCAAATTCCAGCCTAGTCGGTTGCATTCACTTTCACACGAATGACCTTCGGAAAGGCACGAATCTCTCTCGTCTCATCCAGCTATGAGCTTAATAGCAGGGGAGATGGGACTCTCTAATATGGGATGGCAACCAATCTAAGAAAAGAAAAATCTCTGAATTCCAGATCATAGAGAAGGTGGTGGGAAACAAAACTTCACTATCTTTTACCAAAATTCTTTGATAATAAAAAAAAAAAAAAAAAAAAAAAGCATCTGTGGAGTGTGATTATCGTCTATGTTCTGAAGGCTATTTTCTATGTGCTGTGTCTCTTCTGGACATGGACAATTATGGCTCTCTCCAATTTCCTATTCTTTGTGGCCCTTAGTAATGTTTGTCTTTTGACCATCCATGACACTGTGTTGATGGCAGACAATGAAAACTACTGGACCTTGTAGACAAAGTAATAAAGGAAATCAGGATGAAAGGTGTTACCATCAGCAATAGGATTGAATTTATTGTCATACAAGTCCAGAAGTTTAAATATCTGGGAAGTGTTTTAAAAGAGGACAGAAAATGTGACACTGAAATCTAAACGCCCATTGAAATAGCAAAAGATGCCTTCCAAAACTAAGTAAAGTATTAAGAAACAGGAAAATTCTGTTAGAAACAAAGAAAATAATGCTGAACTGCAATCTAATGTCAATCTTTCCATATGGCTGTGAATGCTGGACAATTTCCTCACAGACGAAAGGACATGAGGCAACAGAAATATGGTTCTACAGAAGGATACTGAGAATTTCATGAATGCGGCATGTAAGCAATGAAGAGGAGGTTTTAAGGAAAATAGAAACAAAAACGATGCTTATGGTCTTAAAGAGACTCTCATGATAAGGAAAGAGGGCTTGGAGAATCTGACACCCACAGGACATATCAAAGGCAATAGAGACAAAGGGAGGCAATACTTGATGCACTTGTGTGAATGTATAGCAGAATGGGGTTTGGTAGGTATGGTAAAAAGTCAAATGTTACTAAGAGCATCAATGGATGGGAAGTTGTGGAGAGTAAGATCCCCCACGTCCTGAAGGGACATGGCTTATAGAATAATAATTAGTCATATTGAGGCCATATTTTGATATATGATAACCCTTGGGTGACGTTGAAGGCAAAAGAAACATTGACAATGAGCTCATGTGAATGCATAATGTCGAAGGCTTAAAAAGAAACAGCTGAAATTTCTTGGACATATCGAGGAAAGAGGGCTTTGACACTCAAGGGACCTATCGAAGCCAAGAGGGATAAGGGGAGGTAGTGTTCCACCTACCTGATAAGCTTGACATTGGTATAGATTTATATCCTTTTGGTGATTTTTAGCATTTTGCCCCAAGCAAGGCAGGAGCGCCACTAGCACAAAAGGGGTTACGGCATGATAGAGGAAAGGATGAAGAGAAGGGTGGGGAATTAGATTTAAGGTATCTGAAGATGTCAATTGAGATTGCATTTGAAGTGAAGATTATAGCTATCAGGGAAGTAAGTAAGAGGAAGGGAGTTCCACGGCGAGAGGTGCGAGACATGAAACTATTGGAGTAGAAGAGACGGCTACATTTAACCGTTTTGACGGTGAAAGGGTCGGACTGAGATGCCAACCTAGTAGCACGCTTAAATTCACGCAGTTTGGGAGCCAGCGAAAGTAGCTTATTGGAGCAGTTACAGTGAAAGTATTTGTAAAAAAGACAGAGGGAAGCCACAGCCAATCTGTGAGAAAGTGACTGTAGACGAGATGCCAGATCAGGACCAATCACATTGCATATACGTTTCTGGATTTTGCCGAGGACCTTGAGATGAACAGACCATGTATGACAGTAATATTCCATGCAAGGACAAATGGTTGATTTATAGATATGAAGGATAGACTCGGGCGAGAAAAACTTTGGTGGAGACATTCCGTTCATTAATCTATTTTTCTTACATTCAACATCTAACCTCTCTCCTGGGTTTTGATTTGTGCTGTGAGTGATTACTATCAATTCAAAAGCTTGTTACAAGTTTTCACCCTTATAAAAACATTTTGATATTTCATATATAAATTGATTGTTCGTATGACATTCTATAATTAGTTTTTCATCCACTTAATGATAAATGTCAACCAATGTTGCATTATTCTAAAATCTATTTTTTTTTTTCCAAGTAGTGAAATCCTGGTGTAAGCATGTATTGTTGAAAATGTCACATTTCTCCTGTGTAACTTTTTAACCCTCCCCTTTATATCGTGGGCTGTTTTATACAAATACACCCTGAAAAAATGTTTTTTCTTTAATATTTAGCAAGTCAAATGTTAATGCTTAGTTTTTTAGCTTTCCTGATGTCTCTGCGAAATAACTTCATGGAGTTTCTGGTTTTAGCCATGATAATTGTGTGACTTTCAAGCAGACATCACTAAAGGTTACACTGGTCAACACGATTTTTGGTGCCAAGAAACAAAACATGTTTTTTTTAGCTAATTTGCTGGTGCTGATTCCGAAAATGACCTTAGTTTTTCATGGTTAGCTACCATTTTTGCAGTACTGAAATTGCTCATTTTTTTGAAAAACGATCAATTTACAATCTTGGCTGATTGCAAAATTTAGCTAATAAAGTTTGTAGAAACCCATCAGTTTTCAGGTAGGCTGATCAATTTATGTCAGCCACTTGAAATAAACTATTTTTATAAGAAAAAAGTGATTTTGAGTCAAAAATTTCAAAATACTTTTACCAAATTTTTCCGGTTTATTGTCAAAATTCAAATTAACTGATAAACTTTATCAGTAATACACTTTAGTAAACCTGATAAGGTGCCATCAAAAAATGAAACCCTAAAATCTTCTGTTTGATATTCATAAATTTATCCTATCACTTTTATCCCTTCACTACGGAAAGAAACCAAGCACATTGAGAGTATTTTGTTTTCACAGTTGAAAAGGAACTCCAACTAAAGACATCCCAATTGAATGTACCAATTCTATTGTACATGATACTGCTGGAGTATCAAAAGGGACTTAAATAACATTGAACATGACAGACAATCAAGAAAGAGGAAACTTTTACCATAGTTCTTATGTTCACGAAGGTTTTATTTTTGCTGTTAGTTTATTAAATGATTTGATGAAAATACTTGTTGGTCTTGGCATATTCAATCGTGTTATTTTTCAAGACTTAGGATCTGTGATTGTTATTGCAAAAATAGTATTTCTCAATAAGCAGACCAACATTTGTTGGTTTAAATACGAATTGAGAGGTTTCTAAGATTTTATTTTCAGAAATATTGACATCAGTTAATATCATATGGTGAATTTCCAAGCATAGTTTAGATATGGTACAAGGCTGAAAGTAGGGTGCACCCAGTGAGGATCGATCTCACTATGCAGTAATAATTGTTCTAGCAAGACAAGCTTTCTAACAAGAACACCACCTTGTGCTAGCTAATCAAGAAAAAGTATGGCCATTTCCAGATTCTGCACCCTCAATTTAGCTGAAAAAGATGTTTGGTGTGTCAACATTATTTCATATTTTTTTTTTTGTTGACCAGTGTTATCTGTAATGGAAAGAGCACAGTAACTTTCTTGTCCAGTGCCTGAAATGTTGAAGAGAAATCACATTGATCATAAATTGTTTTCAAAGATCATAGTGAAAATAAAAAGAATCTTATTTTAGTATTGTTTCTGACCTGGCATCTCGACTTCAGTCATTTTCCTATCACTGTGCCATGAGACTCCTCTGTCTTTTCGATAAATATTTTTATAACAATTGTTCTAATGAGCTTTCATCTTTGGTACCTCGACCGCATGAATTTTAGTGCACTACGAGATTGGCAGCTAGATCTCATCATTTTATTGTTCGGTTAGCTAGATATAAGTTCCGTTCTTTTCTTGCACTTATCACCTGTGGAACTCTTGATTTCTAGCTTCCCTGTAAGCTACAATCTTCAAAAATTTAAATTCAACGACAATTGTCGTCATCTGTCTTCCTGAATGCTATTATTTTATTGTTCTTTCTCCTCATTAAAATCTTCTCATTCTCTTTCACTCCCAGTAACCCTTTTCGTCTTAGTGGCATTATCGCCATCTTCTGTCTCCCTGAAACCTGTTCTTTTATTGTCCTTTCTCCTCACTAAAGTCTTCTTTTTCTCTTTCACTCTCAGTAACTTCTTGCATTTTAGTGGCATTATGAATTTGCTTGGGGTGAAGTGATTAAAAAAAAAAAAAATTGAATTTTTGCAACTTACAAATTCCTTTTTTAATATTGACATTTTAATTCAATTTTTCTGTAAACAACATATTTTTTTCCTTCTATTTTTTATTTATTCTATAAAAAGCAGAAAGAACATTCAAGACATTATAGATATATCATTTAGTTAACTTTCTTCTGATATTTTAAATAGGGCATTTGAAAACCTGTACAGTATGAATGGTATGACAGTACCCCACATTTACAGAGGGTTAATTTGCTTCAGTTTGATTCTTATATATCCTTTTGTTTTGTAATTGTTATTCTCATCTCAGTATTTTACCTATTGAAATGTTCATCTTGTAACCATCACCCAGCCCCCCCCCACACACACACCAAAACATGAATACTGTAAAAAAAAAAAAAAAAAATCTGTTAAAATTGTTTTTATTTTTCCCCACAGGCTATTTACTTTATTTCTGTTTGTTTATTGGGAATCTCATTGGCTATACAGTATTTCAATAATTTCCAAGTAATATTCCATTTTTCTTGTTGAACACTATGAAACTGTTTCTGATACAAGCTTGTTTCTCTTGCAGATAGGGGAGTAAATAAGCCACCTCCTCCTGTAATAAGGCAAGAGTATGATGCCTTCTCTGAAGGCATGACACCAGAACGCATCATAGGGGCCACAGACGAACTTGGTGAACTCTCCTTCCTTGTCAAGTGGAAAGGCACTGATGAAGCTGATTTTGTTCCCGCAAAGAAAGCCAAATTGCATTGTCCAGAGTTGGTCATCAGGTTCTACGAGGGAATCATTGCCTGGAAGTAGACGGACGCTACTCTCTTTTTCCAGCCATTCATCTTTTCACTTACTGCTGGGAACAATGTAAACATGAAAACACACAAGCTACGTGGGAAGAGCTATTAGAACGAAAAACACAAAATGGTAAACGAATAATTAAAAAAAAAAAAAAAAGTAAAACAAAACCCAAAAATGACTTAGTAGGGCGACTTAGAGTCCTGAGTGTCGAGAAAGTGGCAAATATTTTACGTTCTTTATTATTTTAGTTAGATGAATATGAAGAAACATCTATATCCAATTATTTTTGCAGCTGTCTCATTGTGAATGATTTTGTTTTTTTGTTTTTTTTTTTTGGTTTTATTTTTTTTTTTTTGTTCCCCTGGCTTTGTGCACATCCTTCAAAACAACTTTTATCTTGGTGTACGAGAGCAGTCTTGAAAAAAAAATGTCTTCTCAGTCGAATCATCAGTGTTGCCTTTTGACCTCTTTCTCCCTGGACATGGGTAAGGCAAATAGATCTATTGTTTTGTATAATGTAGAAACTCACAGTGTATCTGTTTCATTTTTATTTATTTACTAGCTGGACTTGTGGAAACTCCACATCGATTTTTGAACCTCCGACCTCCATTATGCCACCATTCTGTTACTTGAATGTAGGGTGAAATTTAGAGGTTTTTTTGTTAATGCATTAAATTCATTTAAAACAATGAAAACTAAATTTAACACTTTTTTTTTTTTTTTTTTTTTTAATTGCATTTTAACAATAGAGTTGTTGTTGCTTTAAAAGTTCATATTCTGACTTTCATAATCTTCTGTCTATACTTTTAAGTTAGTCTGATTCCTTGTTCATTTTAGAGCTACATACAATTGGCTATGGCTGAATACAGATTGAGAAAAGAAGAAAACTTTATTATAATGTTTGTATTTGTTTATCGTTCTTGATAATGCAAGAATAACTAAAAATTATCAATTTTTCTTTAGGAAACACTAAAATTGTGTTGCTTGGAGTAAGGTTAATTATTAATAAAAAAAAAATGGTTTGTAAACATTTTGTGGTACAGCAGTGTAAAAAAAAAAAAAGTGTCCTTCCTACTTCTAAAATGTTAATGATACATTCACTATTAAAAAAAAAAAAAGAAATGTTATTAAATTTTCTTTAATTTAAATATCCCAGTAATATAAAAATGTGCACTTTGTTGCTCAAACAATAATCGAAGTGGTGATAGCTTTAAAGTGACAGTTTTTTTTTTTTTGTTTTTATTTTGTTAAAATGTAATAAAGAGATAAAAAGAAAATGTTTAATTTAGTTTTCATTGTTGGAAAAGACTATAATGATTTGTATGAAAAAAAAAAAAAAAAAAAATTGGATTCAGCTGTTATTGAAATCTCTATCTTGAAGATAGGTAGGCATGTGTGTATTAGGCCAGTACTCCTCTATTTGAATATTGGGTAAAATTAATTTTGAATTTTTTTTTTTTTTTTTTTTTTAATGTTGGTAATTGACTGAAAAAAAAAAAAATTTCTTTCTTTCTTCTTAACTGTTGTATTGTCATGTAAGGCTTGTTATTTTTTTTTTTTTTTGTTTTTTTTGAGATGTAGGCAAATGTTAAAAAGAAAATCGCCACTGTTAAGAATTGAAGTTATAATTAGTTTGTTCCAAACCTGAATCATTCCTCTCTTTTGGCCACAGTGACTGTTCTATTTGAAAGATTCGTTACCTGTAGTTAAGTCTGTTTATTTTAAAGAGAAACATAATAGCCCGCTTTGGGTATTTTCAGAATAGAAAACCTGGTTAATAGTACATAAATTGTTTGTTTGTTTGTTTGGTGGAACTGGTCGCATCTGCTGTAATTATAATTTGTCAATTTTGCTATGGGGCTTCGATCCAATAGGCAACTGGAAAGACTGAAACTAAGACTATATAAAGTCTTCTCCTTAACTACTTCTTCACTGCACCCCTCCCCCACCAACTTCTGAGGCTATCATGGTTGAAAGGTAAAGTCTTTATCATGAATAAAATTGGACTTCAGTCTCCTGGTGACATCTGCCTGCTGTTGAGGGAGGTCATTACCGTTAGGTTTTCAATTACTTCTCTTCACCATTAAGACAGTCAGTGTGCCTTATAGAACCACATATCAATTAAGAGTTTAAATTCCTACAGTGGCTAATTAGTTTCTGATTTACATAACTCAATGCTGCATCTCAAAAAAAAAAATAAAAATAAAAATGTTGTAAAATAATTGTATATAGATGTGTGCAGTGAATGGATGTGTGCAATAACCAAAGCAAGAAAAGAAAACAAAATTGTAATTTAGTAAATGACAATCAGATGATAAACTTGACTTGGTAAAAGTCAGTTGGTTCCAAGAAAAATTAAGCCCCTAAATTTCCTAGGTTTTTTTTTTTTTTTTTTTTTTTACACTTTATATTGTACATGAAAAAGAAAAAAAAAATTTTTTTTTTTTTTTTTTTTTTTTGTGTTGTCATGATTTGAATATAATTAGTTAGCTTTTTCTTCTTTTTTTCTTTCGGTGAATTCCTTTGGGAAGCTGAATTCAAAGGCGTTTTTTCACCTTCTGTAATTGAAGAATTGCGGGTTCTTGTTCCTACCTCTTTGTCTTCGTATTTTCAGAAAGCCTTTTCACAATTTTGGGCAGCATTGACTTCTTTAGAATCAGATTTAAAAAAAAGAAAGATAAATTTAGGCATTGATTTTATATTTGTTTTCAATGTAGAAACTAATGTGGGGGGTGTTTAGAAAATTGTCCATGGAAATTGTCAGGATTTGTCAACTGTTGAAATGGAAAAAACGATTGATGTTAATTATCTGCACAGTTCTAACTTAGGGTAATATTTTCGCATTTGTTAAGAAAGTTGCTTCATCCTGACCCACTGTACTGTAAACAGTTTGATGTTTTCAATTGCAAAACAAAAAACAAAGGCATGAACCCTACCACACAATCTAGATTATTTCCCAAAAATGCCTATTTTTCCGCCCTTTTAAATGGGAATTTAAAAAAAAAAAAAAAAAAAAAAAAGTATAATCGATGAAAAAATTGAAATGGACCTGAAAGATACTTGCACAAAAAAAAAAAAAAGAAAAACATTTTTCCATTTTTTTTCCTGAACTTTTGAGAGGAGGAAGTATCATTATTATATGTTGATTTTCTTGGACTAGTGTCCACATCTGGGTTATTTTAGTCACAGCATTTTCACATATCTACCTTATGATCTTTTTTTAGGTATCTGTTATACTTAGTAAACTTTCAGGAGTTAAGAACCATATTCTTTATTCTGTTGACTAGCGCAGGTTGTTCCAATTTTGCTGTCGATCCTAGAGACAATTCTTGGATCTGTTAATTATTCTTAATTAAATTGTCCTGGCGATGTTAATTGTCTCTACCAGAGAACCAGACTGTGACTTTTGACCCAACCCAGGGTCAACTCAGAAGTGTTAGTTGGTTTCTAGCAGTCATGAGTTCAATTCCTGGCTTGGGTGGTGCATAAAAGTTACATTGCTTGTTTCAGTGGAAATGACAAACAACATTGCTTGGACAAATTAAGTGATTTGATTATCTTCTCTTAGTGGTATAAAAAATGATATTCTGTGAATTAAATAAAGACAATAGTTCAAAATTACTGGAAGCTTACCGATTCCAACAGATTAACTAAAACGGACTGGAGGGGACAGTGACTAAAATGTGACTAGAACCACCTAGATGTGGGTAATCGATTAAAACGGTGTATAATAAATCATTTCCTCATGCCAAACATTTGCATCCATTAGAAGTGTTCATCTGGTCTCAACTTTGGCCTTCCGCTTTCATGTCGATTTCTCTGTCTATACATCTATTATATATATATATATATATATATATATATATATATATATATATATATATATATATATATATATATATAAATCATATGTGAACCTGTGTCGTGCAAAAAGAGTAAGTATGCGAGCATGTCTTGGTCCCCTGAGCTCTACTTGTATTGTTACCATCTACCTCTTGTTTCCCTCCTCCCAATGCCACTGCCATTTTCAGTTCATTGGTCAGTTTTTACCGATTTAAAGCATTTACCGTCACACGTAGATTTTTATGACAGTTTGTAAAGTGTTTTGGTTTTACCATTTCCTTAATTCCTTATTGACCCTTGCCATCTAATGAAGTGGAGGTACAGACCAATGATAAAAAACGAGAATCAATATCTCATATTTACAGATTGTATTTTATTCAACTCCGAATTTTGTCCATTTTCCATCAGACAGTGTTTGCACATGTATGTCCCCCCCAAGCCTTCCATCCGAAATGTAGTCCCTACATTCTAGTCTCGGAGACTGCCCCTTACCTCTGGGGTGAGTGTTTATATATCTCCTGTCATGCAGTTCATTCCCTCACTTGTAAACCCAGGTGCAGCTGGTCTGTCCTATGAATCTGCATTTGGTGGCTAGGCAGTTGCCTCATTTGAACCCTGCACATGATTTCTCTGTCACACTGGTATGATCCAGGGTGAGACCCATGCTATTGTACAACTCTTTGTTCCGATAAACCTCACCCCACCGCCTAGTCTCGACGTATACTTATTTTCAAAATGCATCTTAGTTTTTTTTTTTTTTTTTTTTGATCTTGAAATCATTGGTGTCTTTTTGCCTTTTCAGTTTTTCTTGTGAACCGTCTTTGAATAATTGACTCTATGGAAGCACCTTGCTTGTCTTTGGTTCAGTGTACTAGCCTTACCGTATTTTTCTTTTTTTTTTTTTTTTTTTTTTTTTTTTTTTAAAAAAAAATCCTTCTTCTTGTACCCTAACATCTTAAGGCCTATCTTTGATAACATCAAAGATAGGCATTATCCTTGTTTCCCAGATGTTTCCACACACCTTTGCACTCTCTATCATTGTACATCACATTTTGATATCATGTGTTCATACTTACAAGTTTTTCTGGTTGCTTCTTCGACCCAGCCATTGTTTTTGGAAAATTTTGCATTTTCATCAGCACCATTTTTAATGTATTTAAGCAGTCATTCCACCATTGTCTCCAGCAATTGACCCTGTCATTTTTTTTTTTTTTTTTTTTTTCTTTACTCCATGTCACTTTGTTCTTGCCTCTGCTCTATGAGGAACATTCATATTCTGATTATTGTTGTAAGTTAACCAAACAGAGCTTCTTTTTCTCCCCCATGAAAATTAGTTTGGCCTTTGTGAACCTCTTCAAAGACTTCAGACGTTACTTTCAGCATTCTTTATTTTCTTAGCGCCTAGATCTGCTTATTGCCATCAGAATCCCCAGATTTCTTCTTTGCCATGTTTTCATCTTGTCATCATTTGTCCAAAGATTTTCTTTCCAACCGCCTCGTCCGATTATCGTTTAACAAACTTTACTGGAGGTGTTGGCGCTCTCTGTTCACAAACTTAGAAGACCCATTCCTTTTTCTATTTTCCTCTCACCTCTAAAATCAAATGAAAATAAACAAAAACAAAACAAAACAAAAAAAACAAAAAAAAAAAAACACTGAAACAATTTAGCCTTCTCATAAAAGCTTGAGTTTTCTCCAAAATGTCAAATCTGAAAATGGCGTTACATTGTCAGCAAACTAATGTATTTTTTTTTTTCTTTTTAATATATATTTTTTTCCTAAACATTTTGTCATTCTTCTTGTGTTTTTGTTTTTCTTCCTTTGTTTCTGCAAAGATGTAACGGCATCTCCTGCAACAGCAAATCTATGGAGGATCATCTATAAGTCTGGAAAAAAGAAGGAAAAAAAAAAAGCATGCGTATGCTTTAACCTATCTCCTTCCGTGTCAATGCACTTAATTTGATGAGTAATAATCACATTGATTGGGCATTATACACTGAAAATTTCAGCTAATCTCTCCATGTCAAGACTTATTGATGCCCCTCTCGACCTTGGTATCTCTTGCTTAAATAAAAATCCATGTCACATGACCACAAGCTATGCATGTCAGAGCTGGATGATTTTTTTTCTGTCAACTCTCCCGTATCTGAGCTAAAAAACAAACAAAAGAACAACCACCTCAGCATTAGAGAAAATACAAGTCAGTGTGTGTGTGTGTGTTTTTTTAAATACTAAATTTCACCCAGTACAGTACTCGAGAGCCACTCAAGGTAGAGTGTTACAGTCAACAAAATGGTAATGCTTAATTAGCAGGGTGATATAAATGGAAGAGAAGGTGGTAAGAAATTAAAATTATGAAGATTAGGAAAGATGACAATTGACTTAAAGAAGTCAATATTGAAATGTTTAGGGAAGCAAACCCACGGGAGTCTGTTCCATGAAATTGTAGTTTTTTTGGTTAAAAAAAAGAAAAGTTGTTAACTCTGTAGAAGTGGCGTGTTAGACAAATGATATTGGAAAAGGGATGAATCCAGCTATTCTCCTGGTCGTTTGAACAGGAGTAGAGGTGTATCCCTTGTTTCCTGGATTTCTAATTCCTTGTAATGCCCTTTTCCTTCACTATCACTTCCAAGAGCCCCTTGCATCTCAGTTGCATTGTTTTCTTGCTTGGGGTGAATTGACTAAAAATAAGAAAAAAAAAGATTATGCGCATTCAACACCTTATTTGAAAAGTGAGTTGTATATTTAAAATATCCGTTGATAATTTTGTGCTTCTGTGTGTGTGTGTGTGTGTGTATATATGTATATATATATATATATATATATATATATATATATATATATATGCACACATAAAACAGTATTTAAAGGTTATTGTCTTGACGAACTTCACAATCTGTCCAATCATCAGATTTTTTGCGACATTGAGATCAACACCCAATGTTCACTTTTATATTTACATATGCTCTATCCCTGATATTGGCCATTTTGACTGCTAAATATATTTTTATCATATATATATATATATATATATATATATATATATATATATATATGGTCAAGATGTTTAATCTAAAAACAATGAAATTAAGTCCCTTGTGGATGGTTTCTAATTTTTTTTTTTTTTTTTTTTTTTAAATTTTGTTTTCCGGTTCGTATCTGTAAACAAATTTTCCCCATACCAAAGCATTTTCAAAAACTTTTTTATTGTTTGTTATATTTGTCCGATTGACGAGACATCACAAAGGAAAGCCACAACACAAAATCAGTCAAAACCCTTAACGAACAACACAAAGGTGCAGTGCAACATAAATTGCAAAAAGCGACAAAAATTGCTCAAGGCATTGTGGCTCAAAAGCAATCAAAGATCAACAAAAATATATCAAACCTTTGATCCAACATAATATATTTCCTTAAAAGATCACGACAGCTATTAGGGTGGTGTGATTAAATATACTTTAATATTTAAAAAATATTTATTCAGTATTATTATTGTTTAGGTAATAAGCATTATAACACAGCACAAATAACTATATTGTGGAAAGAGGAATTTTTGACAATATACGCATTTTTTTTTTATGTATTACGGTTATTTTTTTTAACGTTTATCAAAAACAACATTCTTGTACATATAATTGTGGATAATATTATACATTAATTACTAATTGTTTTTATTAATAACTACTTGTGCTCAGTTGTTGACATTAATAGCTATCTGCTGATGTGTTAAATTATTGGAATAATGCAATAATGAAAATTTA